TTAAATAACTATAACTGAAGAAGTCAAGAAAACACTTGTCGGCGAAAACATGTTTATTAACAAGTAATTGCACAGTGGATATTGGTAACATAAACGATCCATCGACATACACACAGAGTAAACTTTTACATGGTACATTAAATACAAGTTTACTTGATACAAAACGATGTTTTACATCTGGTAGTTTACACGATGTGTAGGAGCTTTACATCAAAACGAAAGTAGACTTGAAACAAGATGGAGGACTTGGACATGGAACAAGTTGGAGGACTTGGACATGGAACAAGTTGGAGGACATGGACATGGAACAAGTTGGAGGACATGGACATGGAACAAGTTGGAGGACTTGGACATGGAACAAGTTGGAGGACTTGGACATGGAACAAGTTGGAGGACTTGGACATGGGACAAGATGGAGGACTTGGACATGGACCAAGATGGAGGACTTGGACATGGAACAAGTTGGAGGACTTGGACATGGAACAAGATGGAGGACTTGGACATGGAACAAGATGGAGGACTTGGACATGGAACAAGATGGAGGACTTGGACATGGACCAAGATGGAGGACTTGGACATGGAACAGGATGGAGGACTTGGACATGGACCAAGATGGAGGACTTGGACATGGAACAAGTTGGAGGACTTGGACATGGAACAAGATGGAGGACTTGGACATGGACCAAGATGGAGGACTTGGACATGGAACAAGTTGGAGGACTTGGACATGGAACAAGATGGAGGACTTGGACATGGAACAAGTTGGAGGACTTGGACATGGAACAAGATGGAGGACTTGGACATGGAACAAGTTGGAGGACATGGACATGGAACAAGATGGAGGACTTGGACATGGAACAAGTTGGAGGACTTGGACATGGAACAAGTTGGAGGACTTGGACATGGAACAAGTTGGAGGACTTGGACATGGAACAAGTTGGAGGACTTGGACATGGAACAAGTTGGAGGACTTGGACATGGAACAAGATGGAGGACTTGGACATGGAACAAGATGGAGGACTTGGACATGGAACAAGATGGAGGACTTGGACATGGAACAAGTTGGAGGACTTGGACATGGAACAAGATGGAGGACTTGGACATGGAACAAGATGGAGGACTTGGACATGGAACAAGATGGAGGACTTGGACATGGAACAAGATGGAGGACTTGGACCTGGAACTAGCTGGTGGACTTGGACATGGAACAAGATGGAGGACTTGGACATGGAACAAGATGGAGGACTTGGACATGGAACAAGATGGAGGACTTGGACATGGACAAGATGGACACATGGAACAAGATGGAGGACTTGGACATGGAACAAGATGGAGGACTTGGACATGGAACAAGACATGGAACATGGAGATGGAGGACTTGGACATGGAACAAGATGGAGGACTTGGACATGGAACAAGATGGAGGACTTGGACATGGAACAAGATGGAGGACTTGGACATGGAACAAGATGGAGGACTTGGACATGGAACAAGATGGAGGACTTGGACATGGAACAAGATGGAGGACATGGACATGGAACAAGATGGAGGACTTGGACATGGAACAAGATGGAGGACTTGGACATGGAACAAGATGGAGGACTTGGACATGGAACAAGATGGAGGACTTGGACATGGAACAAGATGGAGGACTTGGACATGGAACAAGATGGAGGACTTGGACATGGAACAAGATGGAGGACTTGGACATGGAACAAGATGGACTTGGACATGGAACAAGATGGAGGACTTGGACATGGAACAAGATGGAGGACTTGGACATGGAACAAGATGAATGACTTGGACATGGAACAAGATGGGACATGGACTTGAACATTGAACAAGATGGAGGACTTGGACATGGAACAAGATGGAGGACTTGGACATGGAACAAGATGAATGACTTGGACATGGAACAAGATGAATGACTTGGACATGGAACGAGGTGAATGACTTGGACATGGAACAAGATGGAGGACTTGGACATGGAACAAGATGGAGGACTTGGACATGGGACAAGATGGAGGACTTGGACATGGAACAAGATGGAGGACTTGGACATGGGACAAGATGGAGGACTTGGACATGGAACAAGATGGAGGACTTGGACATGGAACAAGATGGAGGACTTGGACATGGAACAAGATGGAGGACTTGGACATGGAACAAGATGGAGGACTTGGACATGGAACAAGATGGAACAAGATGGAGGACTTGGACATGGACTTGGACATGGAACAAGATGGAGGACTTGGACATGGAACAAGATGGAGGACTTGGACATGGAACAAGATGGAGGACTTGGACATGGAACAAGATGGAGGACTTGGACATGGAACGAGATGGAGGACTTGGACATGGAACAGGATGGAGGACTTGGACATGGAACAAGATGGAGGACTTGGACATGGAACAAGATGGAGGACTTGGACATGGAACAAGATGGAGGACTTGGACATGGAACAAGATTGGACATGGAACAAGATGGACTTGGACATGGAACAATGGAGGACTGGACATGGAACAAGATGGAGGACTTGGACATGGAACAAGATGGAGGACTTGGACATGGAACAAGATGGAGGACTTGGACATGGAACAAGATGGAGGACTTGGACATGGAACAAGATGGAGGACTTGGACATGGAACAAGATGGAGGACTTGGACATGGAACAAGATGGAGGACTTGGACATGGAACAAGATGGAGGACTTGGACATGGAACAAGATGGAGGACTTGGACATGGAACAAGATGGAGGACTTGGACATGGAACAAGATGAATGACTTGGACATGGAACGAGTTGGAGGACTTGGACATGGAACAAGATGGAGGACTTGGACATGGAACAAGATGGAGGACTTGGACATGGAACAAGATGGAGGACTTGGACATGGAACAAGATGGAGGACTTGGACATGGAACAAGATGGAGGACTTGGACATGGAACAAGTTGGAGGACTTGGACATGGAACAAGATGGAGGACTTGGACATGGAACAAGATTGAGGACTTGGACATGGAACAAGATGGAGGACTTGGACATGGAACAAGATGGAGGACTTGGACATGGAACAAGATGGAGGACTTGGACATGGAACAAGATGGAGGACTTGGACATGGAACGAGATGAATGACTTGGACATGGAACAAGATGGAGGACTTGGACATGGAACAAGATGGAGGACTTGGACATGGAACGAGATGAATGACTTGGACATGGAACAAGATGGAGGACTTGGACATGGAACAAGATGGAGGACTTGGACATGGAACAAGATGGAGGACTTGGACATGGAACAAGATGGAGGACTTGGACATGGAACAAGTTGGAGGACTTGGACCAAGATGGAGGACTTGGACATGGAACGCGATTGAACAAGTTTTACGTAAGACGACATGGTTGACCTGCACGTGAATATAAATTTAATGAAAGTGGAATGTTAAAAAAGACCTAAACTCGATCAGTATCTGCTGATCGAATTTGATATTCTTTAAATGTTCAAAGTACACGTATCATTTAATAAAGAAAAATTCTCGGTGGCATTAGTGAAGGATATTAATACAAAATTTCATGTAATGTTTATAGTACAGTACTTCAAGATTGTCTGTAGAATATTAAATACATGTTTAAAGACTTTCAGCGGAATTTTAAAAACATAGTCTAGTACAACACTTCGAGACTGTCAGCGGAATATGAAAAACATCGTCTAGTACAACACTTCGAGACTGTCAATGGAATATATAAAAACATCTTCTACTACAACACTTCGAGACTGTCAGCGGAATATCAAAAACATCGTCTAGTACAACACTTCGAGACTGTCAATGGAATATAAAAAATCATCGTCTAGTACAACACTTCGAGACTGTCAGCGGAATATGAAAAACATCGGTACAATATAAAATATATAAAATCATCGTCTAGTACAACACTTCGAGACTGTCAGCGGAATATCAAAAACATCGTCTAGTACAACACTTCGAGACTGTCAATGAAATATAAAAAATCATCGTCTAGTACAACACTTCGAGACTGTCAGCGGAATATCAAAAACATCATCTAGTACAACACTTCGAGACTGTATTTGACACTATGAAAGTATTGAACTAAGTATTGGGTATTACAAACAAACTAGCACTAAAAATGATTATCGAATTATAGAATATCAAAACTACTTGATTGTTGAGTTTGACAATCTAAGGGAATCTGAAGATATTGTTCTGTACTATATGTGAGAATCGGGTTAATATAAAGAACAATACATATTCTAGTGCAAATTTTTTTTTCAGTTCTACCTTCCCGTGCATTTTTTAAAAATGTCTAGTAAACTAGTTATCAAGTTTGCTTACGGAATGACTGTTTTGTACAATACTTGTGGGTCTAGTTTTACATTGTACTTGTAGGATATTATGTAGTGCAATATCTAGCGATTGAGGAATACCAAAAGCATAAACAACATAGTACAATGAAGTGTGGGCCGAGTTGGCATTCTTCTTGGGGAGCATTATCTAGTACAACCAGACGTCGAACTCGACAATCCACGGTTTAAGATACTGAAACTATCGGCTTAGAATGATACATATATCTATGTTGATTTTAGCATGTTGACATGATAAAAACATGAACATGTATCTTATAGTGTTCCAAAAAACATACGCAATCAAGTACAGGTCGTGTTATCAAAGACAACCGAGTTGATGAACATGTTTCTCTCTAAGCACTACAATTGAAAAGTAACAATAACAATGCCTTAAGTGATAAAGCAGTGAATTAAATCATCATGTCCAATATGATGGACAGAAAAACGGATTTCAACACAGCACACGTCTCATCTAATGTGGGCAGCGTTTATACAAATCGTCAGCGGCACGAATACAGCACCGCAGGCTGTAGAGACATTGATCTCGCGATGAGGAAACAATTGTAGTATAACCAGATTTTAAGGATGTTAAGCCGAGAATTTCCTTCAATGAATGCTGATATATTCAGTGAGTTACCTAGCCCAGCAGGCCATACCATAATGCACAATCAGCGAACTCCTCTAGAGAGTTTGAGTCCGTGTCAACTGAAGAAATCGTCTGAGTGTTGACCCCGATGGAGTTGTCGGTCGTTGTTTCGCTGATCCGACGTTGGCGTTTGTTTTCCGTAGGCGCACGTTCAGGGCTGGAGTAGGTGTGATCGTTCCAATGAGATCCCGGGTTACCGAAAGTCTGGCCAAGTGTAGCTGGGTCTCCTTCACTGACATGATATGTCTGTGTATAGTAGTTGCCATTTCCAGGAAGGAATGTTGTCGGTTCGTCAATTGCAGGACAAGATTGACCTCCTGATGTATAGACCGTGTCTATGACGGGAGAATGTCCGGTATGTTCAGAGCTGGGCATACAGAGCACGTGTAGATTACCGATAGCTTTGTCGATAGATACTTCCCACTGATCAGATGAGTGGGTCACGAGTGTCTGTAGGTCTGCATACGTCTTCACAGTAAAAGTACTGTTTGTACTGACGACTGACGTTCCAGATGTGTCCTTTTTCATTGCCTTACGCACCTTAGGTCTGTGTCGAACCTGCTTCCTCTTGGGAACTTTCTTTGATGACAAAGACATGCTTCGAGATGGTGACACGTCCGACAAACAGGAGGCGCCCCGTGTCAGATCTGACCCGTCGCGAACAAGGCCAATGGGAGTTATCCAACCGGGCTGGAGGTCTTCAGTGATTGGTCGGAAACTGTTCGTATCACTGTCCGGGGTCCGAGGTTCCGTGATATCGGAGAAAGCAGGCGAAGGACATCGGCACGAATGTTCACTGAGGGACCGGAGTGCCGTCGACGAAGCAGAAGCGGACAAAGCAGAGGGTGGGCGGACAGTTGATGTGTTTACATTGTCTGGACTGTTCAGAATGATAGGGCTGTTGACAGATGATCCCGACGGTAAACGATAAAGCACAGGTGTCGAAGGTCCGCTGTTGTTAAAGGTAAGAGAATTCGGCACAGAAGTTTCTGTAGAGGAGGAAGACGCCTGACTACCGTCGTCACCAAATCGCGTTCTTACGTCATTGTCATCTTTACTTCCGATTGCCGACGCGGCAGAGGATGTATGGTCAGGCATAGGCTTTGACGGGGCTCCTCGGGAGTAATTGAAGAAGGGGATCTCTATTCGTGGTACCTGGAGCTCATCATGAAGGTCCTCTGCATAGTTACCGTCCTTAGCAATAGCGGTCTGCTGGCGCCGGAAGAGACTTGGTGTCACCTCAGACATGTTTACCGTCCATAAGTTGTTCCTACCGTCAGGGGTCTTTCCGCCCTTCACAAAACACTTACAGTGAGACAAATTGTGACGTACGGAGTCCTTCCAACCCGAATACGACTGCTGGAAAAAGTCGAACATATTCCTCAGGTACTCGTGAATCTGGCTCAGACTGAGCATGCGCTTTGGTGACCTCATGATGGCGACGATAATCATCCCGGCGTAGGAATAAGGAGGTTTTCCATGTCTTTTGTAGACTGTCTTGTGTTTACTCGGGAGCTCGAGTGTATGGATATTTTGAAGGAGTGACAAACGTACATTCTCCATGTTCCTATCAATGACAGAAAGAAAAATATTGAAAAAAAGGAATTATTAGGTTTCACTTCAGTTCAAGGGAGCATACGAAATCATGTGGTATGGGAGGAATGGTAATTTCACAGACGGTAAAGCCAGTAGTGGCGCAGATTGGAGCTGATAGTTACACTTTTATGGATAAAATTACATAACGCGAGTGTTTGAAAGACGGAGATCACACAACGTCAGGGCAAGTGACGTAAGAGTATGTATAGGATCAAATGACGTCAGTGTATCAGTGTTGTTCACGTGACTCTAAAGGGTATGGGTAGGAGTCACATGACGTGAGTTTATGGGTGTTAACAGGACGAAAGGGTGTTGGCGGGGATCACATGTCTGTAGTGTACCAGTGTTGTTCACGTCACTAAAGGGTTTGTGTATCATATGACGTGAATGTACGAGTAATGGTGACGTGATGCAAGGTTTTGTGTGTGTGTGTGTCACATAACGCGACTGTACGAGTGTTGCTCACGTGATGTAAGAGTGGGGGTGTGTGTCACATGAAGTAAGCGTAAAAAAAAGATTTGGGTTGGAATCGTATGAAGCGAGTTCACGGATATTCATAACGTGTCATATTGGTATTGGAGGGGAAAACACCAGATGACTGCAAACGTTCACGTGACGTAAAGGTATGGGTTGAGGTCATACGACGTGAGTGTGTGTTGTGGGGATCATATCACTGGAGTGTACGTGTATTCTTCAAGTTGCTTAGCGGTATTATGAGCGCGGATCATACAACCTGGATGTCCGAGTACTCTCCACGTGAAATAAGATAACAACCTAGAGATGATCACATGTAAGGATAGTGTAACAAAATTGTATAGAAGTGGGGGATAGACAATATATGATATATAAGACAAGTATAGTTTAGAATGTGACAACAAATATACTGGGACCCATAGGGAAGGTTAAGCCTATATGGTTCGGAGAATATTACAGATACATTCTTGATCCAGAGAAAGAGGAGGCAATATATACGAATATAAAAAAAGTCACCTCATATGTACAGTGGAATGTAGGGGTCACGTGTATGTACAGTGTAGGGATGATGGTACACGTGCACGGTAGACGGGTGATTGAATCACACCTGTACAGTGTAGAGATGGTGGGGTCACACTTGCAGTGTATGGATGATGGAGTCACGCCTGTACAGTGTAAGGATGATGGAGTCACACCTGTACAGTGTAAGGATGATGGAGTCACACTTGCACAGTGTAGGGATGGTGGAGTCACACCTGTACAGTGTAGTAATGATGGGGTCACACATGTACAGTGTAGAGATGGTGGAGTCACACCTGTACAGTGTAGAGATGATGGGGTCACACCTGTATAGTGTAGGGATGATGGAGTCACACCTGTACAGTGTAGTAATGATGGGGTCACACATGTACAGTGTAGGATTGATGGGGTCACACCTGAGAGATGTAAGGTTGATTGGGTTACACCTGTACAATGTAGGGTTGATTGGGTCACCAGTGTCTGTGTAAAGTAGGTCAGGGTGTTTGTTTTGAGTCTCTGTGTTATGTAAGGTGTGTAGTATGTTCGGTGTCTCTGTGTTATGTAAGGTGTGTAGTATGTTCGGTGTCTCTGTGTTATGTAAGGTGTGTAGTATGTTCGGTGTCTCTGTGTTATGTAAGGTGTGTAATATATTCGGTGTCTCTGTGTTATGTAAGGTGTGTAGTATGTTCGGTGTCTCTGTGTTATGTAAGGTGTGTAGTATGTTCGGTGTCTGTGTGTAAGGTGTGTGGTATGTTCGATGTCTCTGTGTAAGGTGTGTAGTATGTTCGGTGTCTCTGTGTAAGGTGTGTAGTATGTTCGGTGTCTCTGTGTGAAGTGTGTAGTATATTCGGTGTCTCTGTGTTATGTATGGTGTGTAGTATATTCGGTGTCTCTGTGTAAGGTGTGTAGTATATTCGGTGTTTCTGTGTTATGTAAGGTGTGTAATATATTCGGTGTCTCTGTGTAAGGTGTGTAATATATTCGGTGTCTCTGTGTAAGGTGTGTAGTATATTCGGTGTTTCTGTGTTATGTAAGGTGTGTAATATATTCGGTGTCTCTGTGTTATGTAAGGTGTGTAGTATATTCGGTGTCTCTGTGTAAGGTGTGTAGTATGTTCGGTGTCTCTGTGTTATGTAAGGTGTGTAGTATGTTCGGTGTCTCTGTGTTATGTAAGGTGTGTAGTATGTTCAGTGTCTCTGTGTTATGTAAGGTGTGTAGTATGTTCGGTGTCTCTGTGTTATGTAAGGTGTGTAGTATGTTCGGTGTCTCTGTGTTATGTAAGGTGTGTAGTATGTTCGGTGTCTCTGTGTTATGTAAGGTGTGTAGTATGTTCGGTGTCTCTGTGTTATATAAGGTGTGTAGTATAAGGTGTGTAGTATATTCGGTGTCTCTGTGTAAGGTGTGTAGTATGTTCGGTGTCTCTGTGTTATGTAAGGTGTGTAATATATTCGGTGTCTCTGTGTTATGTAAGGTGTGTAGTATATTCGGTGTCTCTGTGTAAGGTGTGTAGTATGTTCGGTGTCTCTGTGTTATGTAAGGTGTGTAGTATGTTCGGTGTCTCTGTGTTATGTAAGGTGTGTAGTATGTTCGGTGTCTCTGTGTTATGTAAGGTGTGTAGTATGTTCGGTGTCTCTGTGTTATGTAAGGTGTGTAGTATGTTCGGTGTCTCTGTGTAAGGTGTGTAGTATGTTCGGTGTCTGTGTGTAAGGTGTGTAGTATGTTCGGTGTCTCTGTGTTATGTAAGGTGTGTAGTATGTTCGGTGTCTCTGTGTTATATAAGGTGTGTAGTATGTTCGGTGTCTCTGTGTAAGGTGTGTAGTATGTTCGGTGTCTCTGTGTTATGTAAGGTGTGTAGTATGTTCGGTGTCTCTGTGTTATGTAAGGTGTGTAGTATGTTCGGTGTCTCTGTGTTATGTAAGGTGTGTAGTATGTTCGGTGTCTCTGTGTTATGTAAGGTGTGTAGTATGTTCGGTGTCTCTGTGTTATGTAAGGTGTGTAGTATGTTCGATGTCTCTGTGTAAGGTGTGTAGTATGTTCGGTGTCTCTGTGTAAGGTGTGTAGTATGTTCGGTGTCTCTGTGTTATGTAAGGTGTGTAGTATGTTCGGTGTCTCTGTGTTATGTAAGGTGTGTAGTATGTTCGGTGTCTCTGTGTAAGGTGTGTAGTATGTTCGGTGTCTCTGTGTTATGTAAGGTGTGTAGTATGTTCGGTGTCTCTGTGTTATGTAAGGTGTGTAGTATGTTCGGTGTCTCTGTGTTATGTAAGGTGTGTAGTATGTTCGGTGTCTGTGTGTAAGGTGTGTAGTATGTTCGGTGTCTCTGTGTAAGTTGTGTAGTATGTTAGGTGTGTCTGTGTTATGTAAGGTGTGTAGTATGTTCGGTGTCTCTGTGTAAGGTGTGTAGTATGTTAGGTGTGTCTGTGTTATGTAAGGTGTGTAGTATGTTCGGTGTCTCTGTGTTATGTAAGGTGTGTAGTATATTCGGTGTCTCTGTGTTATGTAAGGTGTGTAGTATGTTCGGTGTCTCTGTGTTATGTAAGGTGTGTAGTATGTTCGATGTCTCTGTGTAAGGTGTGTAGTATGTTCGGTGTCTCTGTGTAAGGTGTGTAGTATGTTCGGTGTCTCTGTGTAAGGTGTGTAGTATGTTCGGTGTCTCTGTGTAAGGTGTGTAGTATGTTCGGTGTCTCTGTGTAAGGTGTGTAGTATGTTCGGTGCCTTTGTGTTATGTAAGGTGTGTAGTAGGTTCGGTGTCTCTGTGTAAGGTGTGTAGTATGTTCGGTGTCTGTGTGTAAGGTGTGTGGTATGTTCGGAGTCTCTGTGTAAGGTGTGTAGTATGTTCGGAGTCTCTGTGTAAGGTGTGTAGTATGTTCGGTGTCTCTGTGTTATGTATGGTGTGTAGTATGTTCGGTGTCTCTGTGTTATGTAAGGTGTGTAGTATGTTCGGTGTCTCTGTGTTATGTAAGGTGTGTAGTATGTTCGGTGTCTCTGTGTGAAGTGTGTAATATATTCGGTGTCTCTGTGTTATGTAAGGTGTGTAGTATGTTCGATGTCTCTGTGTAAGGTGTGTAGTATGTTCGGTGTCTCTGTGTTATGTAAGGTGTGTAGTATGTTCGGTGTCTCTGTGTTATGTAAGGTGTGTAGTATGTTCGATGTCTCTGTGTAAGGTGTGTAGTATGTTCGGTGTCTCTGTGTAAGGTGTGTAGTATGTTCGGTGTCTCTGTGTGAAGTGTGTAGTATATTCGGTGTCTCTGTGTTATGTATGGTGTGTAGTATGTTCGGTGTCTCTGTGTAAGGTGTGTAGTATGTTCGGTGTCTCTGTGTTATGTAAGGTGTGTAGTATGTTCGGTGTCTCTGTGTTATGTAAGGTGTGTAGTATGTTCGGTGTCTGTGTGTAAGGTGTGTAGTATGTTCGGTGTCTGCGTGTAAGGTGTGTAGTTTGTTCGGTGTCTCTGTGTTATGTATGGTGTGTAGTATGTTCGGTGTCTCTGTGTTATGTAAGTTGTGTAGTATGTTCGGTGTCTGTGTGTTATGTAAGGTGTGTAGTATGTTCGGTGTCTCTGTGTTATGTAAAGTGTGTAGTATGTTCGGTGTCTCTGTGTTATGTAAGGTGTGTAGTAGGTTCGGTGTCTCTGTGTAAGGTGTGTAGTATGTTCGGTGTCTGTGTGTAAGGTGTGTGGTATGTTCGGAGTCTCTGTGTAAGGTGTGTAGTATGTTCGGTGTCTCTGTGTTATGTATGGTGTGTAGTATGTTCGGTATTTCTGTGTTATGTAAGGTGTGTAGTATGTTCGGTGTCTCTGTGTTATGTAAGGTGTGTAGTATGTTCGGTGTCTCTGTGTAAGGTGTGTAGTATGTTCGGTGTCTCTGTGTTATGTAAGGTGTGTAGTATGTTCGGTGTCTCTGTGTTATGTAAGGTGTGTAGTATGTTCGGTGTCTCTGTGTTATGTATGGTGTGTAGTATGTTCGGTGTCTCTGTGTAA